CAATCGGTCCAACATTTAAAAGAGATAAATTCTAAAAATTTAAATTTTGATTATTTAGACACCGCTAATAGTAGAGTCACTCTTTCGCATAAAGATAAAGTAAAACGCGCCGAGATAAAATTAGCAGCATTTTTTGCCGAATACAACATTTCTTTTTATTCCGCGGATCATTTAATTCCACTATTGAAAGATATCTGCATAGTCCCTGAAGTTGTATCAGATCTTTCAATGGCTAGAGATAAATGCACAAAAATTGTTACACAAGTAATAGCAAAACGCGAAGTTGAAAAAATTATTAAAAATATTCAAAATTGTAAATTTTCGATTTTAACAGAGGAAAGTACAGATATTTCGGATACAAAACTTATGTGTATTCTTGTGCGATATGTTTCGCCTATAACTAAATAAGTTACAACCCAATTATTAGATTTATTATCAATAGATGCAAGAGATTGTTCCGCGAACAAAATTTTCGAAATTTTTAAAAATATGTTGAACCAGAAAGAAATTCCTTTAAAGAATATTGTCGGAATGGCAAGTGATAATGCATCTGTAATGATTAGATGCAATAATTCTTTTATGTCACGCTTAAAATTAGAAATACCGGGTCTTGTTACGTTAAATTGTATTTGTCATTCATCCGCGCTTGTAGCAAGTAAAGCTTGTGAAAAACTTCCAGAGTCGTGCGAAAATTTAATTCGAGGAGTTGCAACTTATATCTCAAGTAGTGCAAAGAGATGTGCGATTTTAGGTGAATTCCAGGATTTTTCCAATGTGGAAAGAAACAAGATTTTAAAATTATCAAGTACTCGGTGGTTAGTATTACATAAATGCGTTGCTAGATTATTAAATAATTGGGAAGTTCTAAAAAATTATTTTCTTTTAGCTGTAGTAGAAGATAAGTTAAAATCCGCGGAGATTATTTTAAATCAATTCAATGATGATTTGTTGAAAGCATATTTATTAACTTTAAGATATTTATTATATTATATCTTACGGGTGATATATAAGGTGTACAAATAAGTTTCCGCCGTTTGACAAAAGTTGGCGCCACCAGTAAGTTATGGTTAAAATTTATATATATATATCGTCACGCGCGCGATCGGCGGCTCGGCCGTCGAGCCTCGAGCGGTAGTGGGGGGACTGTAGGCGTCGTTTCACATATCGGCCCGAAAAGGGCAACTATCTCCGAGCACTGTTTTAGACTATTTGATTGTGATTGGTCGATTTGCTTATGATCTTACGATTACGACTAAAACTTTTTAACGTGTAATGGCCTTAAAGCAGCATATAATAATTTACAGTTTTATCAATCGACAGCTAAAGTTATAGTTATATAAAGTAAGGTTAAGTCACATATTTAATCTATGTATTTACCTACGCAACTCATAATATATTGCAAAAGGCCGCGAAAGTCAATAAGAGTCTATCTTATTTAGCATCTCTTTTCAATAGCGATTGCATACACAATCGATCATGAACGTAGGAAATATCTGGACGCAGTGTATTGCCGCGGGATTGAAGACAAAGGGGAAAAAGGATTGAAACATTGAAAGTTCTAATGTGACCATCGACATACAGAATGGACTGCTAATGATAGTGGAAGGGGTAACCGCATGAGTAGAGCAAGAGGCAGATAATATGAGGTCACTTCCATCTCTTTCTAATAAAGCCTGATTGGTTGGCAAAAAATCAGAAATACTGCTGAAGTGACTTCATATTATCTGTCTCTCACTCTACTCGTGCGGTTACCTCTTTCACTGCCATCAGCAGTCCATTCTATATGTTGATGAGTGTGACGGATATGAACAACCAAGATTGCGGGGCAGCGGTTAATTGCATGGACTTCGGTCTATTGTAACGTCTTAACAGTTAAAATTACGTCGTACGGTGTAAGAATAGAATTAAATATGTATATGCTATTATTGAACAACCAAGATGGCTACATTAAGATTTCCCCTTACTACTCAATCTTCATACCCCGCACCTGATAATGTACCTTGTGCTCCGTCCAGATATTTCTTACGTCCATGCAATCGATTCTTTGCATTGCATTATGGGTTGTGCAGGGTTGATGACTTAACCTTTCTTTATAATCTTACGAACAGCTATTTAGTTTCTGGGTAGGATGCTAGCGCGTACATTGTATTTCTGTCAGTCATCATGAAGCACTGATTTTGAAATCATTTCTCATAAAACACGGCATTGTTGAAATCAATCATCCACCCTATTCCCTTGTCTTGGCACCAGACGACCTTTTTCTCTTTCTTAAAGTAAAAACTATTCTCAAAAAAAAAAACGATTTCAGAGTGTAGAAAATATTAAAAAAATATAATTGAAAGCAGTTTCTTCGAATGCCTTAAACTGTTATCAAAAATTTTTAGAATGTTGCAATAAGCGTGTTAAAGTAAATGGAGATTACTTTGAATAAATATCAAACATTTTTTGTGTTACTTAAATTGTTTTTCTTTTTATTGTGTCAATCCGGAAATTAAATTGTCAAATCTCGTATGTATATTGTTCGAAATCGAATTAAAGGCGATGGGAGACGAGGCTCTTTGTACGAGATCGAGTTTAAGGCGATAAGAGATGTAGCGCGGCCGATCGATAATTTCTAAGAATTCGGGATGAGAGAGATGACCGCTCTCGATGCAGTCGCTCTCGCTCTAGCTTATCGCGAGCCGCGAGCCTTTCGTCACTCCAAGCCTATCACTGCGTTTAAAACTGACATCAGTGGCGCCCAATCAGGGGCTGCCACCCCCGTCAATTAAAAAATTACCGCGATTTTTTCCAATTGTCTTCCTTACTCGTCGAGATTATCGCTATCGCGGCACTCTTCGCTCTTGCGTCCACTTCTCTCGCTAACATTTGCTGGTCCTTCGAGCCGGATTCTCTGTGTCCGGTGCCGGTACGTGGAGTTAGTGCAGTGCCAGTGGTGAATTTCTTCTGTGCTTCTCCGGAGAACATGCATCTGAAAATTCAAGATGAGTAAGGACATGGAAGCTGTCATCAACATACAGTTCGACCTCTACGGGCGCATCGCTGGCTCGTACGAGAACTTGAAAAAGGCAGGCTCTGCCAACATCTCGATCGGCTTAGTGGAAGCGCGCCTGCAAGCCCTCGAATCCAACTGGGTAAAATTCGACACTCAGCACGACAAGCTCGTTGCCACATACAAGGAGATCCTATCAGGACATGACTACCTGAAGAAGGATATGTAGTCCCTCACGGAGGAATCTTACACACAGAAGAATATGTTCCTCGATACACTCCGCGCCCTGAAGAATAAGGCCAGCGTGGAAGCGCTTGCCGTCGACGCGAGAATCCCGTACAGACATTGCGCACAACCTTGCCGCGGATCCAGCTGCCGCAGTTCTCGGGTCGATATGAGGAGTGGCCTTCCTTCCGGGATCTTTTCAACTCACTCATTGTAAAGGATTCCTCTATCGTTCAAGTCGAGAAGCTTCACTACTTGAAGACGTGCTTGAAAGATGAGGCGGAATTAGTAATTCGCAGTTTGCCTACGACAGCCGAAAATTTCGATCGCGCGTGGAAAATCTTGACAGATTATTATGAAAATAAACATCTTCTGGTTTGTTCTTACATTTCACGATTTTCGGCTCTTCAGAAACTCAAGGGTGAATCAGCTACCGATTTGCGCAAATTATATCACGGCGTAATGAGCACCGTCGGCTCGCTCGAAAGCATTGGACGGCCGATAACGCGCGGCGAAGATCTCTTTGTTCATCTCGTCGTGGATCTCCTTGATTCCCGGTCACGTCGCGAGTGGGAAAATTCTATCAGTGATACAACGAAACCTCCGTCGTATACCACGTTGCAACAGTTTATAGACCGTCGGTTTCTTACGTTCGAATCCTTGCAATCTAGTTAATCAGAGACTAGCCCCGTGATGTCAAGTCTGAATTCGGGGCGTCCGATACGCGTACTTCACGCTCGCAAACCAGAGAGCAAACGCGGACGTTGCTCTATCTGCAGTCAAGATCACTACATCATATTTTGTGACGGCTACAAGGCCAAGACCGCCGCGGAAAAGAAGCAACACGTTGAGGCTAATAATCTTTGCTTCAACTGCTTCGGCAAGCACAAACTAAGTGAGTGTACCTCGCAGAAAACATGCTTGTCGTGTCGCGCGCGTCACCACACGATGTTGCATAATACATTTAAAGAAAGCGAAGTCGCAACATCCTTGCACTTCGCGCAGCAGCCTCAAAAAGTAACAGTGCTTCTAGCCACCGCTCGCGTTCGCGTAACAGATCTAACCGGAGTCGTGCACACAGGGCGTGCTCTCTTGGATCAGGGTTCCGACTCGTCGATGATCTCGGAATCACTGGCACTACGACTGCAATTAGTTCGCCAAGCAGCCTCTATCAGAGTCTTCGGCGTTGGTGGGAAGTAGTTAGACTGCGCTAGCAGCCAAGTCAAGCTCAGGTTATTACCGCAGGGACGAAGATCGCCGATAACATTATCGGCACTAGTCCTTCTTTAGATCACCACCGTAGGCTAGAGGATCAAAGGAGATCGACGAGCGTGGACACACATCAGAGGGCTGAGGCTCACCGACCCTGAATTCATGGAAACAAACGGTGGAAATTTTGCTGGGCGCAGATGTCTACGCCGGAATCCTCCAACCAGGCCTTTGTAAAGGAGCATCCCACGAACCTATAGCCCAACGGACGTCATTAGGTTGGATTCTCTCTGGACCCCTGGAAACGACTGGCGAAACGATTCCGCGCCGCGCTCGGTCGCATCGGTGCCAAACGGACGAGGATTTGTCCTCTCTCGTGCATCAATTCTGGCAGCAAGGAGAACTGCCCATCTCTGACTCGCAGCTCACTCCAGAGGATCAAGAGTGTGAGAATTTCTTCTTCAAAACACACGCTTGCACAGCGGAGGGTCGATACGTTGTTCGGCTGCCGGTCGTCGCGCCGTTGCCGGACCTCTCTTCAACGCGTTTTACTGCTCAGCAAGTTCTCTCCGGCATGGAGAAAAGATTTGACAGGGATCATCGCCTGCATCGACTTTACGAAGACTTCATGCAACAGTATGAGGCCTTGGGTTACATGAGCCCAATGAGTCAATCAGACCCAACAGGAGAGCGCGTGAGCTACCTGCCCCACCACGGAGTCATGCGGGAGTCGAGTACCTCGACAAGGTTACGCGTCGTCTTCAACGGCTCGACAACAACATCTTCAGGCGATTCGATCAACCGGCGCCTCCTGGTCGGCCCTAATTTGCTGCCCCCTCTCTGTGATGTGCTTCTTCGATGGCGACGACATCGGTACGTGATGGCCACAGACGTCGAGAAAATGTACCGTCAGATTTTGGTCTATCCTGACGACCGCAACTTGCAGAGGATCATATGGCGCTACAACAGGCAGGACGATTTCCAGGAGTACCGTTTAAATACGGTTACTTACGGGCTATCTTGTGCGCCATTTCTGGCTATGCGTACTCTTCAACAATTCGCCAGCGACTAAGAGCAGCAATATCTTATAGGAGCATCCGTTATCCGCAGTGACGTCTATATGTATGACGTCCTCACGGATGCCGCCACCCTCGGTGAGGCTCGGAAGCTTCAGCGCCAGCTAACAGGACTCTGCACGGTGGGCGGTTTCCCTCTGCGGAAATGGTCGGCGAACGAGCCTTCGATACTTGCTGAAGTGCCTGTCGACCATCAAATGCAACGCGAGCTTCGTGAGTGGCGACCACACAAAACCCACGCCACACTCGGACTTCAATGGCATCCCGGGACGGACTGCTTCTCGTTCGCCACACGGACTATCTCGGTGGCGAACATGACAAAACGATCAATTCTCTCCTTAACAGCGCGACTCTTCGACCCGCTAGGATGGCTGGCGCCCGCTGTTGTGAACTGCAAAATCGCCTTTCAGGCTACTTGGCTGCAGGGCATCGACTGGGACGACCCCCTCGACAAAGCATCCGCCAGACGGTGGCGAGATTATCAAGACGAGCTTCCTCTGCTCGAGCAAATCCGGATTCCTCGGTGGATCGGCCCGCGTGCATTCGATGGCGGAACTGAGCTCCATGGATTCGCCGACGCTTCCGAACGCGCCTATGCGGCCGTCGTATACCTAAAGACAGAGAATAACAATGAGTGGCACACTTGCTTGATAGCCTGAAAACTAAAGTCGCTCCGATTCGACAGATTATTCTACCTCCTCTAGAACTCAGCGCTGCCGCTCTCCTTGCCCGACTTGCTGCCCACATTCGGAGATTCTCGAATTATCGGAGGTCCCACTGCACCTGTGGTCTGACTCCACGGTCGCTCTAAGTTGGATACGGAAACACCCCACACGCTGGAAGACTTGCCATTGGATGTCGCCAACTGGGTGGTCGAGATCCAGACCACTGTTCTAGGAGCTCTATGGCATCACATCCCTGGTCGGGATAATCCAGTTGACTGCGCTTCGCGTGGACTCTCTCCTGGTGAACTGGTGAATCATCATCTATGGTGGCAAGGTCCTTCGTGGCTCCAGCTTGGGAAATCTTCTTGGCCAGTTCCAGGCGAGCTGGTTACCTATGAGGACCTGCCCGAGGAACGAACCCGCATTCATGTGGCCGAAGCTCAGCCTTCGCCTGACGAAAAACCCGCTGAGTTGCTGCGTTTCTCTTCGTTCAATCGACTGCTACGCGTGACAACGTGGTGCCGACGATGGCTCCCGCGACGAGGAAATGCCGGTCCGGCGGCGGACAAGGCTGATCAACTCTCCGGTAATGTTTTATCGACAGCCGAGCTGAAGGACGCACGTCTATTGTGGATCCGGCTGGTTCAATCTACCAAGTACAAGGACGTATTAAAGGCCATACGACAGGTCCGCGGACCAGGTAAATCTAGTCCACTTATCAAACTCAGTCTGATTTTAGATTGCCAGGGCATCCTCCGCGTCGGAGGACGTCTCAAGCACGCAATCCTGGATTACGATGAGCGCCACCCCGTCATCCTGCCAAGCGAGTCGACGTTCACCCGACTCATAGTCGAGGCGTGCCACCGTCGGGCGCTGCACGGCGGAGTACAGATGACCCTGGGGATGATTCGGCAACATTATTGGATCCCTCGAAGCCGAGCCCTCGTGAAACGACAAATTCTTCGGTGCGTGACTTGTGTGCGTTGGCGGGCGGTGACGCTACAGCAGCTGATGGACAGTCTGCCTCGCGAACGGGTGACGCCAGCTAGACCCTTCTTACAAACCGGCGTCGACTACGCCGGACCTATTTTGCTGCGGACAACAAAAGGATGAGGCTATCGAGCGCACAAGGCTTTTATCTCCGTATTCGTCTGTCTATCCACAAGGGCCGTGCATCTGGAGGTCGTATCGGACTATACGGCCGAGGCTTTCCTGGCGGAATTGCGTCGTTTCACCTCTCGTCGCGGATTGTGCCAGACCATCCACAGTGACTGCGGGACGACGTTCGTAGGAGCAGACACACAGCTACGGGCCTTCTTCGCTGCCAGCAGTCCCGAACAACAAGCGATCGTCGGGCAGCTCGCCGCCGACAGCATTAAATGGCGATTCAACTCGCCTTCGGCTCCTCATTTCGACGGAATTTGGGAGGCTGCCGTCAAGTCTCTCAAGCATTATTTGAGGCGGAAGATGCAACCCTGACCTACAAAGAGATGAGCACTTTCCTCGCTCAGATCGAAGCGTGCCTTAATTCACGACCTCTTCAGCTCTTTTGGATGATCCGGAGGATCTCTCCGCTCTCACGCCACGCCACTTCCTCGTGAGATCCGCTCTGACCGCCATACCAGAACCTTCACTGCTGGACTAGCCGACGAATCAACTGACCCGTTGGCGACTCCTTCAAAAAATGCGGGACCATTTCTGGGAAAGGTGGTCCCAGGAATACCTCCACTCGCTGGTACATTACCCTAAATAGTGGAGCAAAGAATCGGGCTTCACAGTCGGCTGATTGTGTCTCATCTGAAACGAGAACTTGCCACCGACGAAATGGCTTTTGGCACGCATCATCCGGATCCATCCCGGAGAAGACGGTTAAATCCGCGTCGTTACCCTCCGCACGGCTACCACGAAACTAACCCGGCCTATAGTAAAGCTCATTCTTCTGCCGGTCGCCGATAGCGAGGCGGCCGAGGTTCACGTCTTTCTAACTTATAATTTACGGCGTACATATAAATTTATTATTTTGTTATTCCCTTTTTGTGTACTCACATCGTTATGTATTAATAATAGGCAAGCGCGACGGCGATCCGTCGCCAGCAGTCCGATCAAGCAACGGACGGGCTTATTGTTAATCTCGCGCCATGCGATCACAGAAGATAAGGGCGGGCGGCCGCGAGCTCGTATACTCACCTCTGTACGACGTACCGATCTCTTCGCCTTTGCTCTTCTCGGGGAGTGCTCCTGCTTACTCCATGGTTCACTTCTCGATCGCATTGCACTGCACTGAGGTCTCTCGTCCTCTCTCGACATCGCGTAAAAATAATTTTCACTCCCGTAATTCTTTATGTACAAATTAAGAAAAATTTCGCCAAATGCTTAGGGCGAGGCGGGCGGGATGTTCGAAATCGAATTAAAGGCGATGGGAGACGAGGCTCTTTGTACGAGATCGAGTTTAAGGCGATAAGAGATGTAGCGCGGCCGATCGATAATTTCTAAGAATTCGGGATGAGAGAGATGACCGCTCTCGATAAAGTCGCTCTCGCTCTAGCTTATCGCGAGCCGCGAGCCTTTCGCCACTCCAAGCCTATCATTGCGTTTAAAACTGACATCAGGGGCTGCCACCCCTCGTCAATCAAAAGACTACCTCGATTTTTTCCAATCATAATTGTCGCCTCCTCAAGACAAAGGAAAATGAGTCATACGTTCTGGATTCTTCTAGAAAGATTCAAGGTTATAAAATTGGCGCGCACAAGGCGCGTCCGGCACTTGACGAAAAGTAATCGACGCGTACACGTAGATTTCCTCGCGCTAATTTATTCGACTAAGTTTCGTCGCGACAGTTAATCCAGCGCGCTTTCGTTGCTCGCGAAACGCTGATGTTCTGTGCGGTCTTATCGTTCGATAGTGCGGTCTATTTGTTCGAGATTATCCCTCCGTTGCTTGCGGAAATCAGAGATATAATTTTATCAATTAATCTAAACTGTAAAAAGTGTACAAAGTCTATTATTTTATTAAATTTCGTATTGTCAAGTCGCTCGTCTCTCCTACCGTCCATCGTCCTCCTTACTCATCAAGATTATCGCTATCGCGGCAGTCCTCGCTCTTGCGTCCACTTCTCTCGCTAACATATATATACATATATATACATATATAAAATATCTTGACAACGGTTAACTTTTCGAAGAAATGCTATGTTACAAAAGTTATTAAATTTATTGAGTGCTATCAATAGAGCAACTGAAAAGTGTCTATTCCAACTTAAAAAAAAAAAATTTATTTCGTGGTGTGAGAACCAAAGACATTGAAGGTTATTATCAAGGTCATCATAATATATCACTCTACTTATCGTACATTTTTGATAATGGCTGTCTTCCCCTATCTCTAACCTTTCAAAAAAATGTGGTGAATTTTTTATTAGACACACTATATATTTTAATCTGACATATTTTGATATAAAAATTAAAATATCTCGTAAAATATTTAGTTTTTGATATCTGAAAAATGAAATCTAACGGATAGTTATTGTCCAGGAGAATTTTTATGATAAAGTCAAGATTTTTATGGTGAAATTGTGGGTGTAAAAGTAAGAAAGTTCTATCCACAAGGCCAATAATAGTACCTCTTTTTTGGCATGTCGGATGTTGAGAGAGAAAATTGAGGTATCGGCTTGAAAAGGTAGACTTATGGAACCAGTCAGTTAGTAAGCGGTTGTTGATTAGAAGTATTGAGATATATAGAAAGTTCAATTTATCACTGTCAGCAATTTCCATGGTGAATTGGATCCTAGGATGTAAAGAATTGAAAACATTAAGCGTATGATCCATAAGAGAATATGGTGCAGTCATTGCGATATCATCAACATATCTGAAGTAGAAAGATGGAATGAAAGTCCATGTTGAAAGGTCTTTTTCTTCCAAATCTTGAAGGACAATGTCAGCTATGATGGGAGATAATGGGGAACCCATAGGTGTGCCAAAAGTTTGTTTATAAATTGTTCCATTAAACGTAAAGAACGTAGAGTTCAAAACAAATTTAATCGCTAGGATAAACTCCAAGGCAGGAATAGAGCAATTGTTAGAAATAAGATCTATTCTTTTCTCGACACTCTCAATAGCAAGGTCAATAGGGATATTGGTGAATAATGAGATCACATCCAAAGATAATAATTTGAAATCTTCAGCTACTATGACATTAGACAGATTTTTAGTCAATTGAAAGCTGTTAACAATATTGCTACGTGCTTTAGGAAAACTTTTCAACATGATTTTATGAAGGAAGAAGGCAAGATGGTATAAAGGGCTATTCAAAGAAGAAACAGTGATTCGATAAGGGCAGTCACGTTTATGTATTTTTGGAAGTCCGTATGCTCTAGGGAGATTACCGTCACTACAATAAAGAGTTTTGTATGTTGAGGATGAAATATGATTAGAATTCTTCCATCTAGTTAATAGTTCGCGTAAAGAAGTTATTAGTTTCTTAGTAGGATCTTTCGACAGAACAACATAAGTCTCAGTATCACTCAGTGTGTTGTTCATGTTAACTGTTTGTTCAGAGAATTATTAACCGCCTCAAATTTCTGATCTCTAGTAGGGGCCTTCTACCTGACGAGGAGGATGTTAACAAAAAGATTGTTTCCTATTTTACAATCCCTTTCATCCATACCATCTCGCATAAATTTAAAAACATCATAAAAGATCTTGACGTTAAGTTTTCTTACTGTAGTCTTAATAAATTGTCACGCTTTATTAAGGTACATAAAGACGTCCTTCCCAGTGCATCGTGCACTAATGTCATCTATATGATCAATTGTGCAGATTGTGATGCCTCTTATGAAGGTCAGACTGACAGGAGATTACAGACGAGAGTCGGGGAATACCGCAACCACATACGCAGAAATACAACAGTTGGTTCGGTGATTACTGATCATAGATTAGAGTTTGACCATGATTTTGACTGGAACCATGTCCGGATTTTAGACAGTGAAAAATATCTAAACAAACGACTGATATCAGAAATGTTGTTTATAAAGAGACAAAGTAATGGTCTGAATTTACAAACGGATACTGAGGGCTTGCACCAGACATATATTATTGCGCTGGATAAACTCCCCAACATTTAATGCATAAGATGATCTTTGTGATTATTTTCAAGATGCGTATATTTTGTTTTCTTCTATTCCGATATAAATACATATTCGGGCGTGTAACGAGTTGTTGTGTTTACTCTTATGTCACCGAGGGCCAATGACCTAGCACTGTATACACACAAGTTTAAATTCTCGTGAAACATCTTAGAGATAACTTGGTCTTTAAAGTATCGTGGATAAATAATTGATTCGCGTCATATACTCATTATATGGATATATCTGTTGCATTTGTATGTAAGTTTTACATTGTTACTATTAGCTTGTGGGCTCTCTTAACTCTTTATTACACGCTTCTACAGATATCTCGACTATTTGGGGTATTTTTCGCATGACAACATGCCGGCAAGCCTTTACAACTTTTTACCATGTGAACTGCCTGGCCTATCACCCGGGGAGTTCTTCCTCTCGAGATGCTTGTTTGGGCGAATTCTTTCGTTAACAATCTAACTTTAATTACTGACTGCGATATTTTTTATGTATTCATGCATTTACTATTTTAATTGCGCTGAAGATGGCCACAAAAAGGACCGAAACGTTCGCCTTCTTATTATCATTTTTTGTATGTTGATTCGTATCATTTTTTATTTGCTTGATTTTGATATTTGTCAATTGCCTTCACACAATTAATATATATGTAAGCAAAGAAAGAGGCAATATTTCATTTTCAACTATGATTTGAGAATGTGGTGATTTGAAAACGATGTACAAATCATTGCGTTTGACAAGTGGCGAGTCGCTTGTTAGCATTTTATAAAAAGATTAAAATTTTTAGCCAGATTGTAAAATATTTTATTTTTAACCATGATTTGAGAATGTGGTCGCACTTTATAAAAGGCCTAGATGTTTTATAAAACGACGGATCGTGTAATCTGGCTGACATATATATATATATACTGCTCAAAAAAATTATGGCATAGAAAATATTTGCCGAAAATTGGCCAATTTTGACTGCCGATCACTTCGCGAAAAATTATCGTAGATGAATGATTTTTTTTCAAAATGAAGTTTGAAGTCTCTACTTTAAGAATGTACCTCCATTTTTTGCATGCGATGCACTTCTACCCCTGTAACCCCTGAAATCTGAGGGCATGTTTGGCATACTGAAAATTGCAAAGTTTGACGGAATGCACGGACGTGGAACAATTTTTTTCAGGGACACCGTTTGCATCGTCATAAAGTTCAAATCTTCCACTTCAATTTGAAAAAAAGCGAAGTCGCTACGATTTTTTTTCGCAAAGTTACAGTCCTTCAAAATTAACGTTGGCCTTTGGGCCAAGTATCGGCCGGCGGGTTTAATGACTGGAAGCCATAGGGGAGCCATGGCAAAAGTGTTTGT